CACTCTTTATTATTACAGAACTTTAGCAATAATAAGATCATTTAGGAATTTAATCAACTTGAGTGTGCACGAGGATATATCGGCTGAACACATGAGTTAGAAAGTTACAGTTGGGGCAAAACAACTGGGTTTGAACTTGTGACATACATTTTTCCGCACAGTTGTGTGTATACCGTCGGTCACATCCAGTAGCCTGGCCAGCGGTATTTGCTCTCATCTGATCTGGATATAATATGAATTGTACAAAGCAGTTTGTCTGGAAATGCTCTTTCTATTGTGAAAGGCCTTAGGGATCACGTGATTCCAGTCCATTCTCTTGTAATGAACAAAGGAACTTAAACTGCACCCAAAAAACTACATATTGAAGAATGTTTTTTTGCAGGGTTGTGTATGTATTGTGCCACTTCCCAACCCAATTTTCTGCATATTTACAACAGGAAAATATGCAGCAAAGAAGTCACGGAGGACTGACGTAGAAGACCTGACTCCCAACCCCAGAAAACTTCTACAGATTGGTAATGAGCTGAGGAAGCTGAATAAGGTGATCAGTGACCTGACGCCAGTCAGTGAACTTCCCTTAACGGCCAGACCGAGGTCAAGAAAAGAAAAGAACAAGCTGGCTTCCAGGTACGTATTAGATAACGCTACATGAAAGTACATTTGCATTACTACAACTGTACGATTAAGATCTAACTAATTTTTGCCTCAAGAGATCCTGCTTCTGCAATGGGCTAATTACCAGTTTATCAAAGCAGGGCAACTGGCACTTTGGAGATGTAGTTTGCCTGTTCCCTAGGTAGCGATGTATTTCCACTGGAAGCTGGCTTATTTAGCTGCAGGGCAAACGATTGATACAGTGATAAAATCCGTCAGTGTGAAATGTGAGCAAATACAGGTAGCAGAAAGGCGAGTGAGTAGATAGATGATTTTGTACGTCACAGCTCTGGCAGTATTGGTTGATAAGTTCGTGTGGCAAACAAACAGATGCTCTTAGTACTCTGGAATTTTTGTTAGTGTTCTAATTCTTCCCCTCTTCTTACTATAGGGCTTGTAGACTAAAAAAGAAAGCCCAGTATGAAGCCAATAAAGTAAAACTCTGGGGTCTCAACACGGAATATGGTAAATACAACTCTTCACATCTTAATTTTTCTTTTGTTTGGACAAGTCTGTGTTTTGCACCATCATGTAACCTGGGTCATACCTGGCAGTTTATAGAGAAAACAGGGTTGGTACAAACCCAACAGTTTGGTTGGTACAAAACCAGTCCACTCCATAAAGCGTACGTAAATTGGGTTACCTGCAGTGTTGAGCTACTTTTCGGCTGTAAATTATGTAAATGTATGCATGTGATGTAAACATTTTTGAAAATATGTTTACAGATGTAAACTGTTACATCTTAATTTTTACAGTAAGCGTGATGTGACACCTTTGACACTTACAGATAACAGTGTGTGGACAGCTGTGGATCTCTTTTGCTCCAGGGGGAATGTGCTGTAAATCTAAGCCAGGTTTTTTTCTTTGCAGATAATTTACTGTTTGTGATCAACTCCATTAAACAAGAAATAGTTAGTCGGGTGCAGGTTCCTAAAGATGACAGAGGAGTCAACATGGAACAAAAGTTGAACGTACTTATTAAAGACACTCTTGGTAAGCAGTAAACTTCATGTGTTTGCGTGTATGTGAGGAGACAGAGAATCTATGATACGTTAGACAGCAGACAGTTTCTGGAATAGAGAAAAGAAAGAAGTGCTTCCTAATTTCAGTTGTCTGTGCCTTTTGGCTGGTTACTAACCAAAGCTTTCATTGGCTTTGTATTACTTAGAGGAACGTACAGATACGTGCAATGGAGAGTAACCTTACAGCACGTTTCCTTGCCCTCCCTTTGTAGGACTCCCTGTAGCTGGACAGACATCAGAATTTGTGAATCAAGTTCTAGAGAAGACTGCAGAAGGAGACCCCACCGGTGGCCTTGTAGGGCTACGAATACCAATGTCAAAAGTTTAAGACCTGACTTCAGCCGTTCCCACTGGTCAGATTCCACCCGTGCTGTCAGTACTTCCCTGTAAATGGCATTCTGGTCTGCATGTCAGTTGAGCATTACGTAAACACTTACAATTAGGTTCCATTGTTTTGAAATAACAACGTAGTAAAAGAAATCAAAGCATGATATAAAATGCTTAATAGCATTTTTGGAGCATAAACCAGATAGTTTCAAAGCTGCTTTAAGCTTAAATAGAGAGATGAGGATTCTTTTTAAAATTATGTTATCTAGGACCAGAATATATCACTTTTCTTTTAGAAGCAAAACCATGTTTTTGCTAGTAAAAGTTTGTAGCACATGCCAGACATTGTGACAGGTTTATGCTCCAAGTAAAATAACAGGAATTGTTTTTTTGGTAAAGCTGTCAATTTAGGGAGTTTTTGTTTTCTTTTTTTTTTTTTTTTTCTTCAGTAATTGGATTTTCTTTTGTTCTTCTTAAAAAAACAGTAAGCTTTCTTTGCAACCATTAACTTGTACATAGCACACGTGGCATTAGAGCTAGTGTGCCATATAAGACTTTAATTTTCTGAGCTTAATATAGTATTTAAATGTCTGTGCAAGCAAGAGAAAAAAAGTATATTCTTTGTGCCTTGTATTTTGGGGGGAGAGCTATCAGTATAAGCTGGTAAAGTTTTGTATGAAGAAAACCCTGAGGGGAAAAACCAAGATGTATAGATGGTAAGATTATAGGTTTTAATGTATTTGTTCCAGCTCTTAAAATTTTTGAATGTATATAGGAATATGTTGAAAATGTAGATATATGCCACAGAGTCTATGTATTGTATAAAAGATGGCTCTAGAAAACTCAATTTCGGTACTTTGGCCGGAAGAAAACAAATACTTGCACATTAATGCGATTGTTTATTTTTGTACCAAAGACAAATGCAACTGATATGGCGAACTGCCAGTCTAAGTAAAGTTTTGCACAGCTTATATGATACTGTACTGAATGTAAAAACAAATGAAAAAAGAAAAAAAAATTAAAGGTCAGGGTTAGGGATCTTACTGAACTGTGAATTTTTTTGTTTGGGTCCAATTATCTACAGAAGGAGCATTCATACATAACAATATTATTTTGCTGTTCTTGTAGTTCGCTTCCATGGTAGATAAGTTGGTGGCCGTCTCGGAGTCTTTAAATCTTTTTTCTCTGCACTTACTGTAGGAGATTTTAATATATTTGGATTTTAGTAAGCTATTGGTAAAATAGTTTTCAACTTTGAGAATTTAAAAAAAAAATATTTAGTTTGTTGTAGTATACTTCCACCAAACAACCAAAATAAAATTATTTTTATTGTAATTTGTATATATGTAAAGAGAAAAAAGAGCTACAAATATCTAATTCCTTAGTTGCCACTTTTCCAGTTGATGTATTATTATGCATGTGATGTTTCCAAGGATCAACACAGGCTTCAAACAAAAGAAAAAAAAAATTTATAGACTTTTATATTTTTGTACAGGTATTTCGAAACTAGCTTCTTCAAACTTATATGTGACTTATTCTTGTTAATTCAGTAGTTTCTATGATTGAGGAATATTAACACACAGTTCTTATTTGCCCCGTTCCTCCCTGTTCTTTCTCTCCCTATTTAAAGAAAACAGAACACTGTTTACTGAAAATAGAAATACCAAATATTTTCAAATGTAGCTGCTGAAAAAAAAATGCAAAAGTCCATGAAGGCTTTCTCCCCACTCCCTTTGGGGAATTTCTCCACTTCTAGTTTGTCTGAGTTTGTTTGTACTGTGATTCCTTTTTGTTTATAAGTAGATTATTTTTATATCCAAGCTTGTACTATAAAAAAAAGTCTGAATCGGTAATAGTGCAGTAAGAGCGGCCGATGAAGGTGGCAGGCCTGCCGCGTGCTTGCGAGCGTGCACGCAGCTTACTCGGTGTCTCAGTGCTTTGGAAGACTCGAAAGGGAGGAGGAGGCCAAAATACCACTACTGAGCTGTACAGCAAGTCTTTCCTACAGGAGACTGAACAAAGACCCTGGGCAATTTAGGCAAAACTTTGTAAATCCACTTCAGACTTGCAAACTCTGAGTGGAGCGTGGGTGGTTTTGTTTCAGGTGGTGGTGCTGGTGCTAGGGTGAGGCGAGTTGCTGCTGCTTTGCGCAGGGGGTCAGGTGTATCCCTGTCGCGATTCTTGCCGACGGTGCAGTTACTCCGGAGGTGCATACGGCCCGTAGAACCCCGACAGAGAATGTCTCTTGGGAAGTTAGGGCCGTGTCCGTACCCAGATTTGAATACTGTCGTTCCTTCCTGATGAATGCTGTTAATGCGCTGCTCAGATACCAGAGGGCCTTACGCCAGATCCAAGCTGTGTAGGCAAGGCAGCGTTTCTGAACGTGAAGAGAGCAGTTTTGCAATCAGGTAAAAACTTCTGTGACAAATTAAACTGACAAGGTATTAAAAGGCCCCTTTTTTACTGCTCGGAAATACTGGGCAAATACAACTTTATAGCTTTTTATTTTTGTCTGAAAACCAGAATATGATTTTGGTCTCGCATTTCAAAGTAGACTTTGAATCTTTAGTGAATTCCATACCCTTGCATTTCAGTGTTTTCTATGTATTATTTTAAGTTAAAGCTTTTAAATAGTTGAGCTTTTTAATGTTGACACTTTATTTTGTACCTATTTATATGTATGTATATCTTAGAAAAGCACTTTGTTTAAAAAAAAAAAAAAAAAAAAAAAAGAAACTGCGTTTTATATGATTCCTGCCACTTGCTGCTAACTCTGGGCTGGTCAGAATGCTGCAGCGATACTTGATATAAATAAAACCTGGCAGTAAAATGTAGAGTAAAGATAAGACCTTTTGCTGGTTTAACTTTATCATAAAGGTGACATAGGCAAGCTGTGCAGCTTTACATTTTAACCAGGGGACTCTGTGGCATTTAAACCGTCTAGAAATGGTTGTACTTTAATGCCAGTAACAATCTGCTTCCTCTAGTGTCATTAAAATATATACATTTAGTGTATACTTATCACAAACAAAAATCTTATAAGGGTATAAAAACCAACAAATGTACATGTTCTGTTTCTTGGCAATTGTGGCATGCATTTTTGGATGATCTTTAGAGAAGACCGTTTTCTAAAGATTTTCAGTGTTCATACATGGTATGTGGATCTTAATGAAGTCCTGGATTTTTTTGTTTGTTTTTGAGTGTAGGCATTGTGAATATTCACTTTTAATCCTATATCCAAAAACAATTATACATTTTTGATTTAACACAAACGAAAGCTCTTCCTTTTTCTGATACACTGGATTCTCTAGAATTTGTTTCCATATTAAAAGCATGCTGTCCTAACTGCTCTTGTTGAGATCTCGTCAGTCTGAACTTCGGTGCCACACTTTGAATCGATGGACTGCTCATTCTGCTGTACCATGTATGAGTCGCGTCCTTTCCTTCTTCCTTCATGACAGATGATGATGTGGCTTTATATTGTGCCTTACTCGTACATCTAGAACTAAATGTTTTTCGTTCCCTCTGACCTCTCCGAACCTAACCCTTCTGAAATCGAATCAGAACTGCTAAAAGCATCCTGCAGAAAGTCGGGATAGATCTGATTGCAGTTGCTCTCTGTAGCAGTCCTTTTGTATTTCTATGGAAGACCAGTTTTTGAATGGCCTTGCAAAACGAGGGGGTGCTCACGAAGGGTGTTTTTGAGCCCTAAGCCCCTTTTGCTAACCTTCCTTCTAGGGTTTATTGAACACATTTACTGATACTTGGTGAGTACTATTTTTTTTTTTTTTTGGATGAGAGAGACTTACTACTAAAGCTATGTTTACGTGTGGATGGGCTGGATTTTCTTATCATACTGGTTGAAATCATTGTGATTTAATGAAGTTGCATTGCTGTAAAGCTGATGTGAGAGTCAGGCTCAGCTGTGTTCAGTTCCTAATTCTGCGTAGCTAGACTTTTTTCCATACTAAGAGGGCCAGGAAAAAAGTGATTGTTTTTTGTTTGTTTTTTTAAAAAAAAACCAACCAAACAAAAAAAAAACTAAAATGGATGAAGGGTCTTTTAACTAACTTAAAAGCAACTAGACACTTCTGAAACACAGCGGTGTCAGTTTTGATTTTATTTTGAAAAGATTCCCGCCCCCTAATATTTATCTGATGTTTGCCTTCATTAATAAAACAGTTAGCTTATTCACAAAATATAAAGACTGGATGTGCTTTTCTTTTCCATAACTCGTTTAAACATAGCTATTTTTTTTAAAGCTCTGAAAGGCTTTATCAGGAGAATTTCAAAGGGTTGTATACAAGTTGCCTTCAGCAGAAACAGCAAATGCAATTCTGTTCCTCAAACATGCTTGCTAGTCTTCCTGAAATTCTGTTGAGGCATAACCCAGTTATGTACTGCGAATGTTAGGATCTGTATTTGGCCTTGAGACCTGAATTTCAAGAATGCATTTAATCATGATTTTATTTTCTTTTTAAGTTGGAGGCTTCAGTTGGAATCATCTAGTTAAGTGTGCTGCTAGATGTGGTCTTGGCTTATTGACACAGCCTTGCACACCGCTGAGGTTTATGTTGTTTACCCCAGGGATCATGTGAAGTACATTTCAAACAGTTGCTGCTTCAGTGACTGATTCTTCTTGTAACTGTATTAAGGGCATTAGTATGTTGAGAAAACACCACTCTTGAATATCTCCCAATATAAATTGGGACTCTTAAATGTCATTAATGAAAGATGGCACTTTTAGGTTATATTTTCTTTGCAGCATACAAAAATGTCTCTATCTTTCTACAATTTACATTTCACAATATGCCATGTTTTTCCCCCCAATGCTTCTAGCATGATAAGAAGGTGTGTGTGCGCACTGAATTATAATCCTCAGCCTCTTAGACATTCATGAACTTCCACAAGAGCAAATACCGACTATGCATTTATTGTCTTTCTAATGAGCTGTGGAGCCGGAGCTATTTTAAGCCGCACTTTTTCCACATCCCCCTCCTAAGAAAAAAAAAAAAAAACCTCCAAACGTTTTAGGTAACATCAGCGTTCTGAGTTTCTGAGTCGAATATTTTGTAGTCGGGTATCTGCGTAAGTCAAATTTGGGTGAGTGAGCTACTGTAAGGAAAACTTCTGGATTGGATTTGGAATTGGCAAAAGCACGCTCCGCCCTATCAAAATCTTCTGATTAAGAAACAGTAGTAGCACTTAATTTTATTAATTTTCTTATAATGATGGATGTTCATTCTGATCTGAGTTATCTGTCCTCCCAGAATATTATGTCCAAGTAAAACTTACTGCTCAGTATTTGTGGTTGGGTGAACTCTTAAGGCTGATGGCACATGCGGACGCAGGTGGTTGACAGGCAAAAAAAAAAAAAAAAAAGGCATTTTAAACAAAACATGGCATCCTGTTCTGCCTCTGCTTGGGGTCATGATTGTAACGCTGTCCTTGGTATTCTATAATCAACTTCCAACTGGAGCTCAGAAAAACTTACTGAAAGTCTTGTCTCTGTTAGAAAATAAATTTACCTTGTTAAAAGCATGATCTGTTAAGAGTTGCAATGTTTAATGTTGGTTAATAGTTGTGCAGTTTTTATTTTTTTTTAAAAGAGGCACAATTAAACTATTGACTTTGTTTACTCTGTCACCCTTGATCCCTAGCACTTCTATTCAGATACAAATTCATCAATGTATGCAACATCCTTTGTAATTTAAAATAAAAATTGTGGAGGAAGCATCGTCTCGAGTCGTTGTGCGCGCGCAGCGACGGCGCAGGGCGCGTGCTCCCCTCAAGTCAACGCCCGGGGTCTCCTGGGCCTTGTCAGCAGCTTTCCTGGGGCGGGGACGGCAGCCAGGTGAGGGGTGCCCGGTTCCCCCGGTCCGTGCCCACACGACAGCTGCCCGGCGAGGCTGCGGGGCCCCGGCCCCAGCCCCGCTCCCCTTCCTCCTTTCGGGGTGCAGGAGGCGCCTCGCGTTGCTCCCCCGGCCCCGCTCGCTGGCACCGCTGCCGAGGGTCGAAGGCTGGGCCTGTCCGCCGGAGCGCTTGGGAGGGCCGGGGGCTCGACACCGCGCAGCCTCCGCGGCCCCGGTGCTCCCGTGGGGTGCTGCTTCGGGCCCTTTTCTCAGCCCGTGGGGGCTAAGGACCCGCCTCAGCCCTCATCAGTGATAAACCGCCTTTACTCGGCGCGCGAGGGGACGTCTCGCTACCCGAGGGACGGTAACACCCGCATCACCCGCGGCGCCAGAGCGCGGGACGCCCCA